GCAGGACTGCCGAGCTAAGTCGTGGCCTTAGACTACCAAATGAGTGTGACATCACCTTTACCAACACGTTACTTGGTTACCTGGTTATGCCAATGGTCCCACACAACTTCAGACCTTCCTGCAGAAAGAACGAACTTCAACTTCAACCCTTCCAACCTCTGGCTGACCCAAACTTCGATACGCAGCACAGCACACTTCTGACAGTTCTGCCTCCGTCAGCGAAGCAACGAAGGAAACACCCTACAGTTGGGACGAATGGATTCTGCGTTTCTTTGGACCAGCCGGTTTGAGGGGCGGAGCCGCTCTTTTGACACCGATGTTCAAGAGACAAGGGTTTCAAGTGCATCGAAAGGTGATGACTCTGATTGCGCTGCACTATCTCTCAGCATCTATCTCTGAGCTGCTATCTTGCTGTCTGCAAAGGCCCTGCCTCGCGCTGAAGCGTCATGCCATTGTGCAAGAGGTGCACTGCAGCCTTCCACAAACGACCGTCTTTTTGTGCTTTGTGCCCCGTGAAACGCCCATGTCAATGTCATAGATATTCGCCATGTAGCTGATTGCCTCTGGTCACCCACCTTTTGCTCATGACTTGCATCAAAATGTTGCTCAATTGGCACTTCCCACCTCTGCATGCTGCGCGGCCATCAACGGATTATCCTCGAAAGAGTTAAAGGAAAAAGTAGGAGGAAGGTCTCAGCGAAGCACGTTCATGGAGATCCAGCGATCCCGCTGCCTGAAAAGCCCTCTTGGCAACAGCCTCTTTCCAACACAACTGCACAACTGCGTGTCCTCCTCCAAAAACCAAAGTGCCATCTTCTGCAAGGTGAAGGCCTTCCGTTCGAAACGGCTGCGACTCGTTCCGACTCGGAGATCGCCTCTGTTCGTCTCCAAATCACCGGAGTCCTGGCCCGGATGTCCAGCGCTGTCCACCGCCCGGACCGATCTCTGGGACTAAAGGTGCGCACCGTTGGTATATCGAATTGGCCATCAAACCATCGTAACTTGCACACATGGTTTCCCTATCGTAACACACGTATCCAAATCCTGTTCAAGAAGCTGATCTACGGCTTTCCGAAATGCAGGTCTGCTGCAAAACCCATGTTTGGAACACATTTGCACAACAACCAGTCCATGTGCACATGTTAACTAGACGAAACATGTCAATATCGGCAAAGGACAACGAGGAAGAGCCTGCCATCTTTCATCCCCGCAGAACTTGAAGGTCTCCAGTGCCTGGTTCTCAAGAAACAATGTGTCACTCGAGCGTACGCTGAATTCGAACCTTGCTGAGGAAAAATACTGAAGTCCCAAGTTACTACCATTACCCACCGCAAAAAAAAAACCTAATTTGTAGTAACAATTACACTTAAAAAACAACAAAGACACAATCAACGCTCATCAACTGCGCATTCTTATTCCTTCAGTGCGCCTTTGTGGCCGCTTTCTGTCGCGCCGACGCTGAAGATGCCAGCTGCAGCAGCGCTCGGCCCAGGCCGTGGGAATGGCCATCGATTTGAAAAGCTTCGATGGCCTCGCATGACCAGTCCTGGCACACGCCGGAACCACGGCACGGTGTTCTTCGGGAGGCCGTGCAGAAGTGTAAGCGACACTGGGAACAACTCCGAGAAGTGTCGCTTTGGTTGGCGAGAGTGGTCTGATGATAAACACGGCAGGGTGGCCCGAAAACACAGCAAGAGTGAGAGAGTGATTGAAAACAAAACACATCAAAACACACTCAATTTTGAGAAACACTGTGGCCCTACACACAGAATGAAGAAGTCGCAGTGTGGTTCAGGCAACTTCTGTTCGCAAGCCGAAGTGGTCCCCGTAAGGTGGCAAACTAAGACATGTTTGCTCCGGGACTGCTCTCAATTGCCCACACGACACATGTATTGCCCACACAGTAGCAGCTGCGCCACCTTGCGCCACCTGTGTGATGATTGATGTTGCCTGACAACTTCGGTGCAAACGACCTGGGCCTGCCAAGGTCCACCCCCCCTGATCTCCGAGACTCCTCCGCCTTCTTGGCGTTGTTGGTGGCAGCAGCCATGATCAAGAGTGCCAAGCCCTCGAAGCTTGGGAGATCCAGCGAGCGGAAGTCCTGATAGACCTCCGGACTCACAGGTAGCCACGCTGGAGGCTGGCTTGGCGACTGGTTTGGCGTGTTTTGCTTGGAAAACAATGAAAGTCCCACCTTGTGGAGGCTTCGAAAGACATAGAAACACGGTTTTGCCACGGATGGTCTTGCCATGTCTTGCCGCATCCACCAGTTCTTTCAGTGTCCCAAGTAGTGAGCGAAACTGCGCGGGAGACGCACAGCTGGGTGGCACGGCGGGGTGGCACTCATGTTGTGGGGTGGGTGCCACGGGCCTCCTTGGCCAGGTGCAAGGCTTTGGCATCCTGAACCGCGTGGTGCTTCCGGCCAAACAGCAGCCGAGAGTGGCTTTGATGCGACCAGTCGATTCTGCATCGAAAGAATGCACTCATGTAGCTGTGCTCAGCTATGAATGTGGCATAATGTGGCACTTCCCACACACACACACAATAGCTATAATGCATGCCAGTTGTGCTGTGCGAACAAGGGCAAATAAAACGTGTCTTTCTCTTGCAGCCATCTGTGAAATCGCATGGTCAAAACACTGATTTAGCAAACAAACCAAATGTGTGGTCCGGCCAGAACTTGTTCTGCAGGGCCGTCAAATGTTGCCAAACATTCTCATCACCTGGTGTACTGTGAACCAGTCCTGGCCCTGTGCCAAGCAGGACTCAGCCATACTCAGCTTCATCTTGGCCTGTGGGCGGAGTTGGCAGGGTTGCTAAACTTGTGTAGCTCAATAGAATGCCCATAATTTGAAGAATGCCAATCAACATTCCAGCCAAATCCCTGAAAAACGAGAGCAGGGAACTCCCTCCTTCAGACTCATGCATACCCACATGCATACCGCATACATCTTCTCGCCTTCGCATCCATCCTCTGCTGTGCAGCAAAGCGCTCCAGCTGGTCTTCCGCCGCCTTCCACGCGAAATGCGCCCTGCACAGGTCGGTTCTCCGTGCGGAAAGACCCCGCGGGTCACGCGGGGCGTTCGCGGGTCACGTGGAACGGTTCCCGTGGCGTCCGGGGGCGTCGAGGTACAAGAAAGGACCCAACAGCTGGCGCTGACTAGGGCCTATAGGGCGCTGGAATCGTGCACCAGCAATTACTGGCGCTGGTGAGCGTAGCGGTTAGCTCGTAGCTTAGGGGGTCAGTCGGGTGGGTTGCAGTGCATTTCTCTGTCTGCGAAAACCGTGGGCCCCACTTCCACCTGCCGCTGCAACGGAAGCAATGCAACAACAGGCGCTGCACGTCAGCATCATTTGAGGCGCTGAGGAGGCGCATACAGGTCTCTTCACAATCCTCGACCCACACACAAGAGCAAGCTGCAACTTACAGAACACTCAAAGCAAAGCAACATCCAACGGCAGTGGTCTTTTGCATTGACCTGGTCATGCAAAAGACCACAACGAACAAACATCGAATGCTCAGAATGCCCTTCGGAATGCCCACTCCTGAAATCGCCCATGCTCCAAGTCTTGCTCGGCACCTTTCAACTCTGCTTGATCATCTGTCAGCACCTGCTCGGTGTCGTCCAAAGACGGGTAGTAGAATCCATCACCTGGAGTTCCGAATGATTGGTCACACACACATTTCAAATATATGCAAATATTGAATATTATATTAACATATATATTAACACCTATAGGTTTTGTGTTGGAATGTAGGGAAACCCTTGGCCTACGCCCTTTACTGCGCTATAGAGGTCACTTGACCGAGGCAAACAGAACGACCAGCGAAACGCAACCCGAAACGGCCGTGCCTGGGCTGTCTATGGTCCTTCTTCCAGGGGGTCAAACAGCAATTCAACCCACACATTCAAAGGGGATTGAATGGCATTATGATGTTTCACCTCACGTCGTGGAAAGGTCGCCCCTTTCACCGCACACCGTTTGAGATCACGGAGATCGGCGGCTCCTCACAGCCCATGCAGAAGCCAATGCTTGCAGCTTCAACTCATGACATGGTATGTCAAGAATCACACTTTGTAAAACATGTCGCATAGAAACATATACATCTATCATCATCTATCACCGTTTGGACATGTGTCAACCTGTTTGGACGATGATGTCGGGAGTCTCCATCCTACCATGGCTCCCGGCCTGTGGGTGGCGCGGACACGGAGGTGAGCAGCAACTCCGGGAAACGGTAGTGCATGTGGAGGCCATCCAGGAGCGGATGGAGAAGGGGGCAGCAGCTCGGCAGATCTTGCTGGGTTTCAGGTTTCTGGGGCCCCTTTCCACCAAGCTGGTGCGCTCAAAACGAGTCTCAAATGATTGAGCTGAGTCCTGAGCTGAGTCCTGGTTTTGGAATTCAGGGCCCGGTGACCCAAAGTTTGGCAACGAATAGGATTAACGATGAAGGCTTGGACGGCTTGGAGTTACTGTGTTGACTTTGACCATCTGAGATCACCTGGAGTGTTTGGAGGTCAACAAAACACAGTGCATGGAATAAGGCGCGCATGGAACATGCCAATGGCTCTTTTTCAGCATGGAACATGCCATAAAATGAAACTTCTGTCACTGGAGCCCAGCTACGGCCAGTTCCAGTTGATCAAGCGTGGGGGCTTTGCTTGGCCTCACCTCAGGCCTGGGGTGGTCATGTTTGCCCACTGAGGATCCGGTGCTGGACATGCAACAAACACCGCAGCTGGACATGGCGGTAGTGTGGACCCATCATGTCATGCATCGAGGAAGGGAGAGCCATGGACCCTCGCTAACCTAAGGGTTCAACTGCACACAAACAGTTGCAAAGCAACACAAGCGACCATAACTTTGACTATATGACTATATTATAGGCTATACTGAACCATATAGCCTATAACTATATAGCCTATACTGCCTATACTATATAGCCTGCTTTGACATTTAGCCAATAGCTGAAGCGACACAAACCTTCACCTCTGGCCTTTGCGCATAGCGGCCCAGCAAAGCTTCCAGGGTCAATGGCTGGTTCTCGGGGATCCAATTGGACCTGCAAGCTGCAAAACACAAGGACAGCCTGCACATCCCTTTGTTGAGGAACATGATTAGCGGACATGTCATGACATGTCAGTTTCTTGATCTGCTCGGGTGCCATTACTCTGATCTGCTCTTGCATCCCCCTGAGGAGCAACAGGTTGCTCGCCGGGTCAGGCTTCTGCTTTCAACATATCTTCCCTTAGCAGCCCCTAGGCCCTAGTGACATGAGCGCAAATGACCGCACACGCTCTGCCTCCAGTTGACCTCCAAAGGGCTGCTGGCATAAAGCCGGCGCTGTTCGAAGCTTTGGAACAGCGGAAGCTTCTGCCTCGCGGCAAGTGGTTGTCACCAGCATATGACCAACGCTTGCCTTTGCATATGACCAACGCTTTCTGAAATGGTGGTTCACTCCTTCGAAGACAGCTTGATGGACACATGTTGCACACGAGTTCACTTACAGGCTCATTGACTCAATTGATCTATCGAGACATGCGCATGCGTAATCAAGACACATGATCAGATCCTGCCCCGCCCCTGGGACTACAAGCACATGATCAGGCCCCCACTACTCAAACCTCCAGTCGCCAAACTCTGGGGTTTTCCAAACGAACTTGGCAGTTGGCCAACTCCCATGGCACCTAAAAACCAGTTGCCCATAGATGGACACGCCAGATGCAGCATAGGGACCTCAGCCGCGGCCCGGCCTGACATGTGCTTGATCGTTGTCCATCTGCTTTGCACCGATCGCATCAGCTGTGATTGGTGACGTTGGACCTCCAAGCCTTACAACTCTCCATCTCGATTCAACTTGATGGATCTTGATGCCTCTCCCTTCCATCCCTACCAAATTTTGTTGTTTATTTATTCACTTCACTTCACCCCGCAATTCCTTCGCCTTGCCAGTACCGTCCCTCCTTCCTCCTCTCCTTCCTTCGCCACCCCCCTTCGCACCCCCCATCATCGCCCGAGGAGCTGGTCAGGTCCAAGGCCACCAGGCCGGTCAGCTCTTCGGAGACCTCCACCGCGTCGAACGCGTCTTCTCGCACGGCGAACGCATGCCCGGCGCACCGGGCGGCGCGTTCGTAAGGCGGTTCGAAGCGGCAGCTTTGAAGAGGATACCAAGGAGGAGAAAACCCAGAGCATGGAGCATGCATGGAGCATCCATGGAGCATCCGTTGTTCCTCTTGAATGAGAGAATCGCCACCCCCAAGTCGGAGCCTCCCAACACGAAACGTTAACGTTTCGATTCATCGAACTCATCGAAGCAGCGAGCCGAGGTAGCGAGGTGCTTGACTCAACACCTGCCACCGGTTCTTGTAAACAGCTCAAGCTTCCCATGATGGGTTTGTGTTTCAAACTCATCACTTGCCACTTATGAACCTATCAGGTTTCATCAGTATTACGGTATTACGGGATTGCTTTTCTTGGTTCTGGCTTATACAGGCCACCCAGTGAGAGGCTAAGTTGCAGTACACCCACGTTGGTATTTTGGTACGGCGTCAGCCAAACAACCAGACTAAAGGATGCAAATGTCCTTTACAAATCCCCTAAGGTTCCGGCCTTGCCCCGGAGCTGCACATTGTATACGGCCAAGAGCAAAAGACTTCGGAAGCCCGTGGATGGCATCTCCTGCAAGGCGTGGTTTACAATCAAAGCCTTGGATGGAATGTGTTCAAAAACATTCTTGGGTAAGTCGGTAAGTCCAACAAAAAGCCAACCCTACTCCACCACAATTGAGCTTTCCAATCTAGGAAATCAGTGATTGGACACCAATTATCTCAGTGATGGACCCTCAAGGCGCCCTCACGGTGATATTGGACCCACACACAAACCGTGCGCATAGTCTCAGCATGTCTCAACAGCGGTGCCCCATGTCTCAACGCGCACGCGCCACGGAGCAGAGGTCTCTCCACTTGGAGCTTCAGGGTCTCTGCAATGTTGTCGTGGTTCGGGTCTTCATGGCTCGAACGTACCAAAGGTACTTTGACCTCCCAAATGCCAAAGATCTTACTAGCATAGCTATTTGCTCCTAGTAGTCATGCCCTTTGATACTAGTAGCGATGCCCTTGTTCCTAGTTGCGTCCTTGTTACTATTAGTAGTAATGGCCTCCAACCTACTTGCGATGGCCTCCACCTATGTTACATCATGTTTACACATTGTTGAGACAACTTCACATGACGGAGTCACTGCCGGAGTCATGGAACCTGGGCTATCAACGTCGTGCGCACTCCTGACACGTCGCCCATAGCAAAGGAAGAAGCATCAGCGCTTTGGAAACAAGAAATGGACCTGCTCTCGGCATCTCTTAGTGCCCCCACAAGAGGCACCACGGTTTCGTTACACGACACGACGCGAAAAAGATCGGCCTCTGGAGGCAAAAGGCTTTGTAAAGACTTTTGAGTGCCTCATCTGGCGACGGCCACGGCGAGGTGCTTCTTTCATCTTTTTCTGCCTGGTTTCTTCTTTTCACAGTGCACCGGTCGACCCAACCCTCAGAGCCAATGCTTTTCCCAAAGCGGATCTGTTTGGCCGACTTCCCTTACCTACTTTGCTCGGTCGGTCTACACCTTCAGTCGACTGAAACTGATGTTCGTCCCGAAAGGTATATCGAAAGGGTGTTGACAAACCTCACCGACGCACTGACTTGCTTCAAACACTCTAGGGACATGATGAACAAGTCACAGTTATGAAACACAACGATGGCGGCGCCTGTGGAATCCAAGCTGCTCCAGCCAACTGCACTTTCTGCAGTATCCCCAGAAGCAATCAGGAAGAGCTCATTGGTGAAGGACACGACCTTGGCAGAATGACAACTGCCAGTCTTGCCAGCAATCCCTTCAGTGGCAGTGACCGCAGGCACCAGCAAATCTGTGTCCTGGAAAACTGAGAACCTGGCAGGTTGCACCCTGTAGAAACTTTCCTGATGGCAATGTTTCTATTTCCGCTGCATGAATTCTGGTTGTCAAGCTTTGACTTATCATGACTTGAGGCCAAGGGGGGTGGCGAAAGCTAGCGCTCCAGAATAGATCGGTATGGGGCAAAGGAGTATGCACTTGATCTCGAAACCAGGGAGTGGAAAGAATATTGGTATTTTAGGATGCGAGGTCTAGACACAGACGTAGCTTGCTCACCAAGAAATTTGAAATGTTTGGGTGTTGGATTGGAAACATGTACGGTTACCTGTAGTACACTGTAGTCTCTTTGAAGAAGCACATAGCCATGACCCAGCGATGCGGTTGTGAAGGTGGCCGAGAGGAGTAGCTTCACAAGAAGCAGAAAACAGGCTGAAAGAAAGAGCGCGGCCGAATTTTTCCGCATGCAGTGAGAGTGTGAGAGTGAGAGTGATGAGGGGGGGGGCTTCGACCTGAAAAATCAGGGGTTAGGATTTGCACCCGGTCGAAAGAAACCTTGCTATCGCAAGAGTAACTCCAGCTAGCTTCGACTGAATGGTTTTAGAAGACAGTTTCAACCACTTCGTGTGCACCTCAACCCGGACTAACGGTCGTCTTAGCTGCGATCTGCTGTCCGTCGTCTTCCACTTCAAGGATCTCAAGTTGGAGGTGATACGGCTCCGGCCGACCAGTGGAGCTACACTCCCAGGTGAAGAGTCCTTTATATGTGGCTCTTAGCCCGGATCCTCCTGCGAGAGAAGAGAGAGAAGAGAGACAGAAAGACGAGAA